TATTAAAAAACAAACAAACATGCAGTCATGTGGTTCAAAGGCTGAGGTATAAAGAGGAAGGAAGGAAGGAACCATTAAATACTAAGAGAAAAAGGTTTCCTTTTAAAAACAATCATGAAATAATATTTTTAAGTCTTGATGTTAAGTTGCTGTAATGGAAAAGATTGATAAATTTGAAGCAAAATATAATTTTCTTTACAAAAACATTAATTTAAATTAACAATATTTCTAGCTTAGACATGTATACACTCGTATCTCGCATAAAGAGTACTTTATATATTAAGAAGAATACCAATACAGAGAAGATGTGGAAAGAGGCAAATGCTAAAAAAGAAAATAAATGCTTAATCTCATTAATAAAATATAGTAATACGAACTAAACAATACAATATAGTTTCTTACCTTTCCAACTAATCGAGGCTTAACCAGTCCTTGGTAATACTAATGGAGTTAACAACATGGGGAAACAAAGACACTGTCAGAAGTGATATAATTTGACTATATTCTTCAAAAAATGCTTTAAGCTTACACTGTGGTAATATTAAATTCACTTTTGGGAACTTACCCCATGGATATGCTTGCATAAGCATGCCAAAATATATTAAATGATGACATCTGTATATAACAGAACGCCATGCCTGCTTCTATTGACATGGACATACGTCCATGAGCTGTTGTTAAAGGAGAGAATAGTATGTATGGCCTGGTTTCATTTGTGTTAAAAATTTTAAAAGTAGATGCATTATATGACATCTACATAGAAAATGTGTGGAAGGATTCTTTATGAATTGTTAAGTGCAAATACACCCCGGAAATGGGTTGAGAGGAGACAGTTGTGGGTAACTGGTTGAGACCCTTGAATTCTTCCCCCATAATATACTACACTGTTTATTTTCTTTAAAAAAAATAACGAACATGTTCCTTTTTGAAAGTTTTATTTGCCTTTTATCAAGAAAAAAACCCAATTAGTTTGGGGATACTGCAGTAGATTATAGATTAAAATATTTTCTTCTCAGGCCTATTATTTTTATTCTCTGGTATTCAAAGCTAGAGACCGATTCATCTGAAAAGCTTTATATGAAATAGTGAGTATTAAATGTAGATCTCATTAAAATTATTTTCTCTTTAAAAAATGTCTCTTGGGCTGGGATGTAGCTCAGTGGCAAAATGTCCACCTTACATTTGCAAAGACCTGGGTCCCACCCCTAGTTCCAAAAAACAATAACAACAAAAGAACCCTACCCCCCCCCAAAAAAAAAAAAGATTAAAAAAAAATTTTTAAGTCTCATCTTTTAAAAAGACCACATTCTCTTTAGCAAAGAGGGTAACCACATGCACAGAAAGCTCATTTTAATATTTCTTAAAATGTCTTATTGTTATTAATATTATTTTGTCAATTTTCTGCCATGTTTACTTAAATTTCTGATAACTCCCAAAGACAAATCTTTATAGATTTTCAGCTTCTCCTCAAAAAGGGACAAGAATTTTAAGATCAATAAATCCCTAGTCCCTGCCTTTAGCTCCAGTACACTGAATTTTACTTTGTATCAACTAAGTCTTGTCCAAGTTCCTCATCAAATGCTTGGAAGTAGGTATTTTAGGGTACAAATTTATTTTGTGGTTGATGAGTACACTTTTAACTTTAAAGGTCACAGTTAGATAAATGTCACAGAAAGCTCACACCACTGAGCTCAAACAAACATTCATAAATGAATTTCATCAAAATCCTATTTAAAGCTGTCAGATCCTTGCTTTCCTGTTGTTACCAAAGGCTAAGTTACACTTACAACAAAAGCCTCTTGAGCTTCCACTCTGATTTACCTGAAGCTTCCACCTAGTCTTCACTTTACCATTTTCTCTGGAACTCATAAAACGAAGCAAGGGGCAATGTTATTCATAGTAACTTTTGCTGCTTCAGAAGAATTCTAAAGTGATTTTAAAGTGTGATGACATCCTACTAACTAATATTACTGACCCTATGTAAAAATGGAATGCAGAAAAAATACACTAGGTTATTTAAGGGAATAGAAATAAAATAGGAAAATAAACTATGTGTAAAGTGATATTATGCATTGTACATGCGGAGAGCTAAAAGAGACATAAAAATCATTGGCTTTGACATAATACTCATTTTATTGATCAGGAGGCTGTGATCAGTAGAGAGGTAAATGGGCCATGTTAAGGTCACAGAGTTAGTTAATGGCTGTACTAGCCCTAGGAGTGTGGTCTTCTGTCTCTCAGCGTGCTAATTCTACCATACCATGCTGTGGCTTCTGGTATATGCATGCATCTGCGTATAACTTTATTTTTGTAAATATATCTGCCTTATGGTCCTGAGGTTTTACTCCTAGATATGTATCTGATAGACTCACATGAGTGCTTATGTCCACTAAAAGACATGTACTAAATTATTCATGGCTGTATTTATTCTTAATATCCAGTCTATTGGAAGGAAGGAAAGGGAGGAGAAAATAAGGAAGAAAACCCAAACTTCAATCAGCAGTTGAATGGATAAATTATAGTTTATTTACACGCTGGACTGTTAACACAGCAATTGAAAACAACTGATTCATGGAGCAATATGGACAAATCTCAAAAAGCATATTGTTGTGCAAATGTAGCCAGACCTAAGAAATTATGGAAAGCATTTGTGTTATTTTTTTTAATGTGTGTTTATAAAGCTCCTTAAGGGCAGAGACTATTTCTCTATAGATCTCTAGCACCTAGCCTGTTATCCAGCATATAATAGATGCACAATGTGTTCTTATTTTAATGGAGAGGATATGGTATAGAAATAGACACAAAGGAAGCACCCAGTATTTTTATGAGAAAAAAAATGGTAATACAGGGAACAGTAATTTAATTTTCAGATATTTATATCAGAGGACAGTCTATGGAAACCAGAAATATTAACACAATATTAATTGTAAGTAGTGGTTGGCTGAGTTTGCTATTATGGTAATATTTCAAAGCAAGATCAGCTAATAGAGTTGATGAGTTGACCCCCAGATTAATCTAAACACCACATCAAGTAGATGCAGCAGTCTCCTCTGCATGTTTTTGGCCCCTAAGGAAGAGGAAGTGTTCTTACACTCCCTCAGGTTTCTCACTCAACAGAGCAGGAGTGTCCAGTTGATTAGCCAGATTCTGGAGTAGAGATCAGGCTTCTTGCTTTGGAGGGTGTGTGCCTTGGGGGGAGATGGCATCATAAGGTAAGAAGGCTTCTCCGTCTCTTCCTTCAGCACTGCTGGGTGCTCTGGCTTTCCATTTCATAGAGGTGATGAATTTGGGATGGGGAAAGGAAGTAACTCTGCAGCCTGCTTTGCTTCTTGTTTGCTTCAGACCCTGCCCGCTACAGCTCACTAAAGTTCCTGAGAGTTCTACTCTGAGGTTGGGGCCTCCCCCTCCATAATAACAAAACATTACCTTGCCTCTTTTGGGCATTTGGTTTCCTTGGAGGCCACCTAGAAGGTGGGAAACCTAGACTAAAGTAGGATTTATGAATTCTAGATTTCCTGGCCAAACGTCACTATACTGATTTAGTCGGGCCACCCTTTTATAGCAATTTGGTTCTTCATCCCTAAACACACACCACAAGAATCTTCACGATCCTTTCTCCTGCCATGGGTACGTCAGGCATTGGTAAGGTCTTATTCAACACTGCTGCCTGTTCTTCTTGAAAGTTTATCCCATTGAAAGACTCCTTGAAGAAGAAGAGATATTCCTGTTTGAAAAAAATTTATCCTTCCAGTTATGGTTCAGACAGGCCACCTGAATTCCAGTCCCCAGGGAGCCATAGGAACAAATTGTCAGTCAATTTGCAATCTTCTGTAGGAGCACCTGGGCTGTTGAGCTGCAATTAACAGCTTCCTGAGGAGCCTGGGTGTGCTTAAGCAAGTCTATTTTGTTAAATATTGACTGGCAGGATTTCCCTTCTAGTAGGGCGTCTCATCTTCGGGGTGAGAAGACATGGTCTGAAGAATTGAGGTGGGTAGGAAGAAAACATTATACTCTTTCATATAAAGGCATTGTGAAGTGCTGAGTGTGTCAATCTGAGATGGGAAAATTTCCTTTGTCCTTAATGTGACCTATGTTACCTTTTAACAGTTCATTATTTTTCACCTCAATTTTTTTTTTACAAGAGGTTAAGCAGTGTGCCCCGTGTTTTTTCATTATTGTAATATCTAGGTAAGTCATATGCAGCTTGTTATCATTAAAGGTTTCTGGAAATGTTTTATTTTTGCCTCAGGGAAAACAAAAAGCTAATGTTCTTTCCTTTCTTGCTGATCTTATCAGCCCAGTACATATGTTTTGACCCTCTCATACTTTGTTTTTTATACTAGGACTTTTCAAATAGACCAAGTTAGCTTGCTGAGAGGACTCAAATTTCATGTCTTACCCTATTATGATTTAAAATTTGAGCACATGTGAAAATAACTGACAAAATGACATGACAAAAATATATCAAGAATTTCTACCGCCTTTTTTGTGGGGTCCCTCAGAGGCAGGAGGTTTTGTTTGTGAGCATGTGCATTAATACTGAACGGTTTTATTCTTTGTTGTCTTGCTCATTTTTGCCAAAGCCAACAGTTGTTCCCTCAATGTTCAAATTGAGCAAATGCCCAGTCATTACCAAGTAACAGGGTGATTCTGTCAAATACCTGAATACCCTTTTGGTTGTTCTCTAAATTTCGTCAGCAAGCTGAAATACATCTTCCTTTGTTTCTGGCAGATGTTAAAATTAGACCTTCTGAAAATTCTTAAAGAAAAAAAAAATTGTTTTTACCTTTTCAAGTCTTGCATTGGAATTATTCTTGATTTAATATCTACCTGTGACAGAAATACAATGAAATCCCAGTATCAGCAGGAACGACATCTCACGTGGTCAGAATGTAACTTGTATGTGCTAACTAGAAAGTGGTGACACTTTTTAACAAAAACCACGTTGACAGTGAATCTCAATGAGACTTCTCACGCTGGCTTGTTGGTTGCTTTTGTAGTTTAACTCGGCTGCTAAGCAGCTGATAGAGTGGGACAAGCCTCCCATGCCAGGAGTTGATGCTGGAGAATGTACCTCAGCAGCAGCCCAGAGCAGCACTGCCCCAAAGCACTCTGACACCAAGAAGAACACCAAAAAGCGGCACTCCTTCACTTCCCTCACCATGGCAAACAAGTCCTCCCAGGCCGCCCAGAACCGCCACTCCATGGAGATCAGCCCTCCTGTGCTCATCAGCTCCAGCAACCCCACAGCTGCCGCGAGGATCAGCGAACTGTCTGGGCTCTCCTGCAGTGCCCCCTCTCAGGTAAAGCCTCAGAGAGGTATAAAAAAAGAGCTAGGTCACAAAAGGATCTATTTGCAAGCGTGTTTGTTCACTAGCTGGGAAGTACAATTTATTTCAGCTTCTGAAGTAATAGTTTACCTGGGACATGAAGCCTTTATTTTATTATTTTGGGTACCAAGGATTGAACGTGGGGGCACTTGACTTTTGTATTTTATTTAGAGATGGGGTCTCATCCAGTTGCTTAGTGCCTCACTGTTGCTGAAGCTGGCTTTGAACTTGTGATCCTCCTGTCTCAGCCTCCCGAGCTGCAACTTACTGGCATGTGCCACTGCATAGGTGAAAAAATAGAGAATGGAAAGTTAACTAGGAGTATGTCAACCCAGAACTACTAAGTCTTCTTCAGAGGAAAGATCAGAACTTACAAGATGGGTCAAATAATATCAGTTTCACTAAACAGTCACTCAGTTTTACAAAACCTTCTCATAGTGCTACTTTGGAAGATATTGTCAGCTTAAATTTGATCTCTCCTCAAATTTAAGATGCTCTTGTTGAAACATAACATTTGCAGCTCCTTACATCTCTATAACTCACCTTGATGTTTAGACTTCCCAGTCAGAGTTGTAGATAAAAAAGAAGAGAAAAGATGGAAAGAAACATTTAATTTAAATTAGAAATAGGCCTATGGGTTATTTATTTATTTTATCCTCTACTGGGAATGGAACCCAGGGCCTCACACATGCTACACATGCACTGTACCACTGAGCTATATCCACAAGCCTTTTAAAATTGTATTCTGAGACAAGGTCTCTCCAAGTTGCTCAGGCTGACCTTGAATTTGCAGTTCTCCTGCCTCAGCCTCCTGAGTAGCTGGGATTATAGTGGTGCACCCTGAGCAAATGTGCTTTGCATTTTTTTAAAAGCTCATTATTCATCAATATTTGACTGTCTTAAAAATTAGTCATATAGCTAGGTGTGGTGGCACATGCCTATAATCCCAACTACTTGAGAGTCTGAGGCAGGAAGATTGTAAATTTGAGGAGGCAAGTCTCAGCTAAGTTAGTGAAACCATGTCTCGAAATAAAAAAGGACTGGGGATGTAGCTCAGTCGTAGAGTGCTTCTGGCTTCAGTCTCCACTATTGTGGGGAGGGAAGGAAGAAGCTGCACATAATTATTATGTTACTAAAAACACAGTTGACTGCAAACTTTCATTCATTCATTTGGTAAATGCTTATTGGGAACCTTATTATTGTACTCATCTAGGCAATGTGTACGTCAAAATACATAAGATATAGGACTTCCCTACCTTAGGCCTTAATTCTGGAGTATAAAATGAGCCTGACTGTGCACCTGCCTACATTCCAGTACTACTAGCTTTATCCAATTAGGTAATGGCTATATTTCCTTCAACTTAAAGGTCAAAAAGCTTAGTCCCAGGTAAAGCCTGCCACATGCAGGAGAAATTTCTTTCTAGTCTTGGATCGTTTTTTAAGATTCATGCAGACTTGACATTTACTTCACATTACAGCTTTGGGTTTTTAAAAATATATATAAATACAAGAGTATTTCCCCTTAAAGAAAAGAAATATATAGTAGTCCTGGTCCTTAAGAAGTTTACAGTTTAATAAGTTCCTGTATTGGATCACAGAATAAAAATTTACCACATAATTTTTGTGTTCCTTGCCAGTTTTATTGAAAATCCTTTTCCCTTATCATTTATTTAACACTGCTTCTGTAGATTCATACTGTGTGTTGGGAGTTATATGCATCCACTTCTTGAGTGAGATTGTGCTGTTTTGACTTTTTAAAAAATGATTAGGTCGCACGACTTTTGATCTTCTTAAGGAAAGTAGGGTGCATACACACACACACAAACATGAGTGCAATGAAGGCAGAGGTCTTTTTTGTTTTTTGATAACATCCCATAGGGCAGACATTCAGTGAGCACACAATATTCAAATGAATGAATCAGTTGAAAAATGAATAGAGGATGGAACCATGTGATTTTAGTCATGTAACTAATCATCCCTATGTGAAAAACAAACATGAACTGAGGATCAGAGTGTGGAGTACTAAGTGAGGTGGACCTGGAAAGATTCAAAATGGAAGGTTTTTTTAAATAAGGTTCTGCAGGAAAAGGCAGTCAAGACAGGCATTCACTAATAGGAAGTTGACCCTGCATTTCCATCTTGTGATCCAGCAACATTTGCACAGTGAGGTTTTCTTGACATGAAAGACAGCTTCTGCTAAGAATGGTGACAGCAGTGAATGAGAAGAGCCTCGAGAGAATGGACAGGCATTTGGGGGAGTAGAAGAAAAAATCAAAAGAGAAAGATAAATAGAGACTTTACCCCTTCTGCAGAGAGCTCAGCAGCCAGGTGTGAGCACATCTGCTCTTGCCACACCCAAGCTGGGAGTGAAGACTGTAAAAGTAGAGCTATTTTGTTGTTTGGGTTTGAATAGCTTAGGAAACAAGGCTCTTTCTGTGTTCCATTAAAACACTTTCCCCTTCAGCCACCCCACCACTCCTCCCGTGCTGCAGTTCTGTTCTCAGTGGTAGCGCGTTGCCTCAGGGAGGAGTTATTTCTAGAAGAAGATGGGAAGTGTTTGAAGTGCTTCCCAGTTTCTCCCGCCCAGGTTTATAGAAAACCCCACTTATCTTGGGCACTGTGTACATTGGAGGGAACCACAGTCCACAATAAAGCATTGAGTATGTGTAGCATATGTGACATGCTCCCTCCTAACTGTGGAGATTATGGGAAATGGTCCATGGGAGGCTCTGAAACAGGGCTAACTTTTCCTCTGCCCAGCAAAGGGCCAGTGTGCAGGTTTCAGTAAGGCCCATTGCTGAATCTGCCTTTGGCTATCCGCCTGGTTTCTGTCTTCCTTTCCTTACTCAGGCCCACCTTTACCTTCAGTTTTCTTTTCCTCTTATATATTATTTATTTAGGAGTGAACCCAGAGGTGCTTTACTGCTGAAGTACATCCTCAGCCCTTTTTATTTTATTTTTTTAATTTTGAGACAGGATCTCAACTAAGTTGCTCAGGGCCTTGCTAAGTTGCTGAGGCTGGCCTGGAACTTGCCATCCTCCTGCCTCAGCTTCCCCAGTCACTCAGATTGTAGGCGTGCATCACTGTACCTGGCTGGGATTACATTTTTATTATAAACCAAGCTTTCCCCCTGCCTTCTCCTCTCATCCCAGTATGGGAGATTGAACCCAGGGTCTCATGCATTTTAGGCAAGTGTTCTACTACCGAGCTCCATCCCCAGCATTTTTGAACCTAACGTTTTTGATGTATCATTGTTTCTTTGGAGAAACATGATTCCAGTGAACTCCATTGCTTCTATACATGGTAGAGGAAAAAACAGTCTATTTCTTCAGGAACCCACCCCACTCCCTAATTTTTACAGCATCACACAGCACCATTGCATTCTGAGTTGGCCCTGCTCTGCAACATGAGTGAAATTGATCAAGTAATTGAACACAGGCAATGAAATGACCCGAATAACTCAATTTCTTTCTAGTAAATTAATCTTGGGCAGTATCCTAGACAAGACACCTTTGAAAACAACTAATTTGGCTTGATATTGTTCCTTTAAAGGTTTATAAATAATTGCCTGCTGTAGGCATGTCTAGGCAGCTGCATTTTAATTAAGCATCCCAACTGACTAGAAGTCATGAAAAATGATCTTGAAGATAACAAAATATTTAAGAATTTTTACCTAGATCCAACAATGGAGAGACAGGTGAGTGATCAGCCACAACTCACCTTAGCTGGTTCTTCCACAGAATTGTTAGCTTAGTGGAGCACCAGATGTCTGACCATCTGAAAGGGCAGTGTGACCCATGGTAGGAGGCAAAAATGAGGTAGCAAGTTGTTGTGAAACTAACAATAGCTCAGCTCTGTGCATACAATATTGTAGTGTCCAGCTTTTGTCACATGCCTCTGCAGTATCCAGTAAAATGCCTTGTATAAATTGGATAATCAATTGGGTTGAATATACTGAAAAGAATTCTGCCTTCCCAAAATAACAAAAGGTACAGACTTTTTAAAAATGGGACCTCCTTCTTTTTAATAACTTGTTTTTTTCTTGGCAGGTTCATATAAGTACCACCGGGTTAATTGTGACCCCACCCCCAAGCAGCCCAGTGACAACTGGCCCCTCATTCACTTTCCCATCAGATGTCCCCTACCCAGCTGCCCTTGGAGTGAGTATAGCTTCAATCTTTATTTTTTCTTTTTAGTATTTAGTCGTGTGGATCTGGCACACTCTACTTCCTGTCACCTGCAGTTTATGCTGATACTTGCTGGGTGGGATGGATCCCTATCTTTAATCTTAATAACCTTAATCTTAATAGCCTTAGCTAATCTTACAAAAAAAAAAAAAAATTAGAGAGTTTCTTGCTTGGAACCTGAACATTGTTTTAACAATGAGGATCATTGGCCTGAAGCTATTGGAAGAACTCTGAAAAACACATTTAATTTTATTACAGTTCAACCTGGTTTTCTGAAGGCTTGGCCTTTATTTCCCTAGAGTTTCTAGATCTTGCTTATTTCTTTTAAAGACACATTTATAGAAATACTTGAGGAGATAGATCCCAGAGGCTAAAGGGTTAGCTTTGAGTCACACGATACATTGATACCAACTCTGCATTTAGGATTCATCCTTCAGTTTCTCATCTAGTGTAGCAATAGTTACCTAAACATATTGACTGTCCTAGAAGGCTCCCTTAGATTGTGTTGATTTCCTTCTGAAAACCATCCTACAGGTAGAATAATCAGTAATTGCTTAAAAACATCTGAATGGGAGAAATTCATAGGGAGAATTAGAATCGCCGAGGGAGATGGATTCAGAGCAAAGGAACACTGGAGAGAGAATTCAAAGAATAAGCAAATGCAAAGACCTTAGGCAGTAGAGAGAATCAGTAGTCCCTGCTTCCTAAGGTTGTAGGCAGTTGAATTTCAAGAAACTGGCAACAGTGAGACACCTCTTGTCCGGGAACAGACCTTGGCTTGTACATTCAGACTATTTGTTCCAGCACTGGATTGAATAAAGACAAAAACATCAGATCACCACAGTTCTGGACCATGGCATCGCCCAGTCCCCGCCCCACACCTGTGATTTGTGGTGATGCGCTTAGAGAAGCAGTGTGGCCTGAAGATGGAGACACGGACCTGGGATGGAACAGACCTGGTTTGAAGTTCAGCTTAGCCCCTTATTTGTTATATGGGAAAGTTACTCGGCCTCTTTATGCCTCAGTGTCCCTACTTGTAAACTGAGATTGATAGTGTGTATGTCACAGAACGAGATCATAGAGAGGGCTGGCTATTACTGGTCTAGCCCTCCACTGAGGACTGTTGCAAGGCGGGTTTGCAACATGTGCCACTGGTTTACCCTAAGAATGCCTTGGAGGGCCTGCCTCACTTTGTTATGGTTTCCTCTGCTCTCTGTAGTGGTGAGGGTTCTCAGCAGCTGGTTTGCCTTTAGGGTGTGGATTTTATATATGTTGTAAAGATTATGTTTTTCTCTGTTAGACAGTTTAGAGCCCAAATTGGTAGCCCTGTCCAGAAAGGCTTTCACAACCTATCAGTTAAAATGTTGACTCCTTCTGGTTTTATCGCCCTCAGTTTAACATTTGCTTAATTTTTCTTATCTAATATTTATTTTTCCCTGATATAGTTTATAAAGAGTTAAAAACTGATTTTGAAACAAGTACAAATAGAGTTATTACCTACCTTTTGAAAACTTTTTATAGAATTAAATATATTTTTATATTTAAATGGAGTTAATAATGTCCCATTAGAAGTTAAATTTTTATTTTTTTTAATGTTCCCTGGATGGTTACAACTTCCTTGATAGTGTAATTGTTGGTGAAGGAGACTGTGCCTTGATTCATCTGGGAGAAGATGAATTTCAGTTAACATTTATTAAATGTGGTTTCCATGAGAATCTATTAGCCCCGGATGTTTGATTGGAGCCAAATTTCATAAGCATCCTGCCCTCTAATCTCCTGGGGAGACTCTCCCCTTCCTTTCCCACCCCCAGTGCACACATATGACTAGTTGGTATTTCCATTTTAAGATGACCACTTTTCCTGGAAAATTCTAACTTGATTTCTTAAGGTAAAGAAGAAAAAAAAAGACTTTTTCATCTTAGAAAAATTAATTAGTGGAAAAGACCTAAGGCTGGCTGAGTTTCAGCCCTTGTGAGCTGAAAATTTTACAGTATGGTAAATGGCCAGTTCCTTTTAGCTGGGGGCCTACTCTAGAGCAAATCAATAGGACAGGTCACAAGAGAACATGAATATATAAAAATTAATTTATATTCAACCATGTTATCCTAGGATTATATAAGAAAGCCTTCATGCTAAGCAAGAGAAAGATTTATTAAACAGTATGTCTAGTGTGCCAATTCCATTTAATGAAAAACTAATTATAAACAGACTTGTCTGTCATCCCTGGAGATGTCTCGATCTCAGAGTCCCTGGTAGGCCGGCAGAAATGTTTCAGATTTAATATGTTACGTTTAAGTGGGAAAATCTCAGCAGCCTGTGCCCTCTGCATCTTACATTAACTGTGGCAAGTATTCTATTTAAAATCTGAAATAACTTCTGAAGACTTTTGAGTACTATCACAGCAATAGTATACAGCTCAGTAGAAAAGAAACCAGACTTCTCATGGTATGATTTATATGTAATAAATGTCACCACTAGAATAGGAAATGAAGATTATTTCCAGTGTTTTTTCATAAATTGAGACTTTTTAATATTTTATACAGAATGAAGTTAGGAGCATATGTCCCATACATTTCACATGCAACAGTTAAAATGTTAAATGTCTAACATTATGAGCAACGCTGGTATTCCAACTGTTGTGCTGATACATCAAACCATTAAGAGTAGTGAGGTTTTTTTGACTAATTTTGTGGGATGGGGAGGGTGGAGATCTTAGCCTTGTATCTTCTGTGCACTGGCAGAAGAACATTTGGAACAAGTAATTAACAATCCCTGATCCTCAGTGCCAGTTGAGAGCTATGTTAGAGGCACAGTGAGTGTTCTCATTCATGAAGCACTCAGGGAGGATCTCTTACCTTCTGGCTGCAGAGCCAAGTGCCAGCAATACAGAGAAGTGTGAGACAGTCTCTGACTTTACAGTTTCATGAATCATAACAATAGCTTCCATTTGTTGAGCTTCTGCTATACTCTGGGGTATGAATGGCAACTTATGTAAATCCTTTAAAATTTTTTTCTGATATATACAACACCAAGATATACCCTGACATCATCACAAAAGCATGGAACACAACCCACTCCAATTCAGTCCCCAGCACCTGCCCCCGACTCTACCAATCCCTGTTCAAGCCATATACAGTTTACTTTTTAAAAATAGTGTCAAATTAGTGTCCTGTAGATAGACCTGATGCCAGAACCCACTATTCCACATCTATGCATGCACATAGAAAAGTTCAGTTAGGTTCATTCCACTATTCTTCCTCTTTCCCTTCCCTTCTTCCTCCCCATCAGTCCCCTTCATCTGTTCTCCTGATCTTTCCTTCAATTTTATGGAATTCCTCTCAATTTTTCCCCCTTTCTCTCCCTACCCCATCATTTTGGATTAACTTCCCCATATCAGTAAACATTCAACCTTTGACTTTTGGGGGCTGGCTTATTTCACTTAGCATCATAGTCTCCAGTTCCATCCATTTAATTATTAACTCTGTCTTGCAGATTGGTATATTAAGGCATAAAGACCTTCCATAATTTACATAATTAACTGGCTGGAAATATCTCTTCTTTCTTATAGATTAAATGTGGAATAATAAATTACAGTTTATGCATGCAGATGGTAATGCTGCTGAAATTGGTAGCACTGTTGACTTGAAGGAAGCATCTTCATGCAGTAGCTTGAACCATTCCCTCATCGACCACTGACATGTATCTTGAGTTCAGTACCCAGAAAGACGGGTTAGAGATGTTGATATGTATGGTTGAAAGTGGGTTGACTGGAAATTAGATGTTTAAAGAGAAATGATGGGATTGAAGATGTTAAATGGTATTTGCCCAAGAGACCCATTTTTTTTTTGTACCTTGGGAAGTTTATGAAGAAGATTCATACATAAAAAGACAGTTGGAAAGGAAATGATCCTTTTATGGTCAGTTGAGCTTGTGCCTGAAACTCCAGCGCAGAGCACTTTACTGGTAAACTGGCTTACAGCCCTTGGCCCAGGCTTGATACCTACTGAAGGGTTTCCCTTATCCTTAGCCAAATCCAGATCTAACTGCTTTCTGGGCTGGTTGCATGAAAGGGCAAGAGGATGCCAGAAAGAAAGGACTTCACACCCACGTACTTGAACTTTTCACTCCCAATGTCAACTAGCAAATGAGGCCTGTCAGTATCTTGGAATACTGCCCTCAGAGAGAAGATGCCCCATTCCGTAGCTGCTCACTCTAGCAAAGGCGGGAAGTCAGAGACTGGCCTATGAGTCTGGACCAGGGTTGGAATTTGTCTTCTTTTCTGACAGCAAAACCCATGTTGCTTCTACAAAGCAAAGCTGTCTTTTTCAAAAATCAGGGTTCAGGAGAACAAACCCTGGAAATAGAAAAAGATGGCTATTAATTTCATATTAGCAAGCCTCCGCAAACAAAATGTGACCTGTGTTCTTAGCAGGTCTGTAGGAGTTTGTTTGTTTGTTTTGTTTTTGTCTGGTAGGGGAGAGTGCATCTTGGCCTCTGGTGCTTGGGCTGGACCAGACTGTGAGTTAATAGGCAGGTCTCCAGGTCTACTCCTGGTGAATGAAAGGCTATGGTTTTCTGTGTAGAAATTTCCAGTCTTGCAGCCTATCAAACTGCCTGAAGCACAATACACAGCAGATTACCTTTTGAACTTCCACATCACCAGAATATTTCAGTTTAGGTTGTTTATAAAGCAACCCACAGAACTTCCTTGTGTGTCCCAGCCCTGGATTGACTGAGCCGTATCATTTGACCAACCACACAGGGCCAAGCAGCATCTAGGAATCTGATTTTAATCAGTCTTTCTCTCTTGGTCTTATGCACACTTACTCAGTATTGTGTGAGTGTGGGGTGGGGGGAATCTGTCCAATTTTATTCAGAACATCTATGCTTGACTATGCTTCAACCACAAAAAGAGAGAACTGTATTTTCTCTTAGGTACAATCTCCAGGATCTTTCAGAATATCCTCTTTTAT